CCCCAAATCATTATATATCATCAATCCCTCTCCCACCCAAAATCATTATATATCATCGATCCCTCTCCCACCCCACGTTATCTCATCAGGTCGTACGAATGTCTTGATTCAAGTGTCGGCGGATTGATTTCCTCTCTCCGAAAGCTTTAATTATTGAAAATAAAATTACAAAGCTATAAATTAATTCTACACCAGGTATCAATATTAGTTGTTATTAAAGGTAGAAATCGTTGAAACGGAAAACATTCATAACTCGTACTGAATTACACTGATGGCTGTGTACTGTATGTCATCTACGAAAAAACATACATAACTCGTACTGAATTACACTGATGGTTCTGTACTGTATGTCATCTCCGAGAAAACATACATAACTCGTATTGAATTACACTATGGTTCTGTACAGTATGTCATCTCCGAGAAAACATACATAACTCGTACTGAATTACACTATGGTTCTGTACTGTATGTCATCTCCGTGAAAATAATCATAACTCGTACTGAATTACACTGATGGTTCTGTACGGTATGTCATCTCCGTGAAAACATTCATAGCTCGTACTGATTTACACTGATGGTTCTGTACTGTATGTCATCTCCGTGAAAACATTCATAGCTCGTACTGAATTACACTGATGATTCTGTACTGTATGTCATCTCCGTGAAAACATTCATAGCTCGTACTGAATTACACTGATGGTTCTATACTGTATGTCATCTCCGAGAAAAAAGGATCATAGCTCGTACTGATTTACACTGATGGTTCTGTACTGTATGTCATCTCCGTGAAAACATTCATAGCTCGTACTGAATTACACTGATGGTTCTGTACTGTATGTCATCTCCGAGAAAACATTCATAACTCTTAATGAATTACACTGATGGTTCTGCACTGATCTCCGATAAATTAATCGAATATGGTGTGTCAGAATAGAAGAGGCTCAACATGTATTTGCATTTTCTCAAGATGGTGCTATAGATGAGGGTCTGGATGGGTTGGTGAATTTCTGCGTTCTTTGAATATTTATATCATTTATTCTTTTCTTGTTTTGTTTTTTTTTTTGACCATTTTTCTCTGTTCTTTAATTATTTTGACCTTTATTCTCTGTTCTTCATTTTTTGGTCTATTTTTATCTATTCTTTATTTTTGTGTCCTTTATTCTGCGCCTTTTCCCCATTATTCTCTATTTTATTAAACCATACAGACCCTCATTGAAGGGGCTCAAATTTTATTTGCATTTTCTCAAGATGATGCTACAGATTAAATCTCATTTTAATGTAATTAATTTCCTGCTCTTTTGTCATTTTCAAAAATTAAGATACATATTTACACTAGAAAACAATTATGACTTTGCATGATGTTTAATCCAATAAAAATATGCAAAGCGATGGTGGTCATCTTGGATGTCGGGTGCGGATATCTTATGAATGTATTTCAATCCAAACAATCTCAGAAAAACTTATAAACTGATCAATTAAGGACATAAATAACAAAAATAACCTGCACAAAAGTTGAAGGATATAACAACAAAAATAATTGACACTGAAGAAGGCTATTTATTAAGCCGAAATATTTGTCAACACGATTTAATAACAACATCTTCGTATAATACCATCTTATATAAGTATCGTTGTGCAAATCTCTAGACTTATATATATATATATGCATTTTGTGTCGCCGAATATTAATTTTCATCCTGTCTTGTTTAAAGTTTTTATTTTCAATTCTTTGCAGGCCAATTTATTCATTTTCAAAATCCTCCTGCCCTCTCCCCCTTTTGAAAATCAAATGATCGTCCTCTAACGGGTCAAACGATCGGCTTAGTTTCTACTTTTCATTATTATTATTATATGAAGTGCGCATGACATGTTTGATATTTGCCAATTGAACGTGAATGATTTCATTCATAACCTCTTGATTATATTGTTTTACAACTTAACTTTTTGTATTTCTATATTTAAAGTTATTTGCACGAATTTGCTTTTATCAAATATAGACAACTGAAATTTTGTAAAGAAATTTATTCTTGATTCCCAATGATGCCGTCCTTCTGCAGACTTGTGCCATCCGAGCTTGTTTCGAATATAATTATGCTACAGAGGCGGATTTAGGGGGGGGGGGCAGGGTGTCCGGATCCCCCTTTAGTTGTTGATTATTTAGGGAATCTCTGAAGCATGACCTCTTTGGCAGTCAGTGCCCCGCCCCCCCCCCCCCCCCCCCCCTTTATGAAAATTTCGGGATCCGCCACTGTGCTATGTAAAGATAACACTATTTTAGTTAAATGTGACTGTGCTATTAAGGTCCCTTTTGGTCATATAGTTCGCCTCGTTTTCAGTTATTTATACATCCTTGACCTTCAAATGTTTGGGTTTGAGCAGTCCTGATGAAGATAAAAACATAAAAGCGCTTCCGACGCACGAAATGTATAACGTGTCATATTTTCATTCATACATTGTTTTTCCTAAAAGGCTGTATGCTTAAGCTACGTCATTTGGTCCCTTGTCCAAAGCTGTCTCGTTGGCAATCAAACCACATCTTCTTATTTGTTATATTTATAATTTCAGAGGAATTTATCGACATTGATATTTTAAAAAAAAATGATCTATTCAAAGAAACAGCGACCCTTAGAATGACTATTGGTCAATTTATAATAGCAGATCCCTTTAAAATAGGTAAAAATAGACTATATATGCATAAAACTTAATTTTAAACTGTTCAAATCAATCATTTTTATATTTCTGTAATTGCATACTTACTTATTACTATATATAAATATATATATATATCGTCGCGACTAGGTAAAAATTGGATTTTCCCTTATTTATCTACATCAAGTAAATTTGAGAATCGCGAAATTAAATCGCCGCGAAATGAACTAGCAAGGGTTAAACGCGAAAAAAAGTATCCGCGAAAATAAGCTGGATTACAGTATAAGCAAGTACGGGTCGACCGGAATGAAGGTCGGGAAATTTGGACTGTCGCTGGAAAATGAGAGTATATTGGATACGGAAAGACATAATTCCTTGTAACATGCCACCTACGACTTCTTCGTCGTGCAGAAAGCATTGCAATTCCCCTACACGAGACATCAGATTCAACGTCGCCATTCCTACCAGACGTGGCTGTGTATTCATACTGTCATTACAATCCCGAATTGTCAATATGAAACGCCTTGATATTGTGTGTGGGGTGGGTGGGGCCGTACTCACCGGACACAGAGAAACATAGACTAATTTAAATTCTATATATTGGGTATCTTTGAATACTCACTTTCAAAAGATTCAGGATTTGGAATTTTAAGCACTCAAAACACATGATGTGTGTGTTTCTATTTGACTGTCATACACGGGTTTAGCTAGCTATAAAATCAGGTTTAATCCACCATTTTCTACATAAGGAAATTACTGTACCAAGTCAGGAATATGATAGTTGATTTCCATTCGTTTGATGTGTTTGAGCTTTTGATTTTGCCATTTGATAAAGGACTTTCATTTTTGAATTTTCCTTGGCGTTCGGTATTTTTGTTATTTTACTTTTCAATATAGTGGCGATTGTTTCATAGAGTTTACTGTGCCGCAAGAAATGATATAAGCCTTGATGACAATAAATATAAAACAAAAACAGATGATCAAAACATTTTCAAGAAAGCGTAACTACAGCTTGAAAATCATTTATATACCTGATGAAAACAGTATACAATCATATAGTAATTCTATGTAATTGAATTGTCTGGATGGGTGTCCTTCATTTTTGTATTCTTTAATTTCTCAGGCAATTTTACTCTATTCTTTATATTTTTTGCCCATTATTCTCTATTCTTTATATTTTAGCACCTCATTATTCTCTTTTCTTGATTTTTCTGGTCCATTTTTCTCCATTCTTTATATTTTTTGCCCATTATTCTCTATTCTGTTAGCCCCATCCACACCCTCATTTAGTGGGTCTTTCTTCTATTGAAGGCCACTGGTGTAGCTTTAGATAGATAATTAATAGATCCAATGTTTTCCTAATTTGCTGAACGACAATTAGCGTGGTTGTTTTAAAAGCAACAGAAACTTCAGTTGTAAAACATTGCTAATGTTATTCAACATCTTGAATATCTGATACTTGTAAACAGGTTTCTACATCATTAGATTAAAATTTAAAACACTATTACAAGATAAAACCAAATTGATGAAGTAATTCAAGATATCTATCTGATAGTGGTGTTGTTATCATCTTATTTATAACCCTAGACTAATTTTTATTTCAAAGTATTATTTCTTTACTACAAAGCACAATTCTCGAATTTTTTTACTTGTGTCATAATAAATTATGATTCAATAATCAAGCAATATTTTCTTAACGTTAAACCCAGACAACATTGGTACGTTGGCACAACATTGGCCCAATGTATCTACATGCATTGGCCCGACGTTGTTTTTAAACGTTGGCCCAATGTATAAGTGCAAAGTGGCCCTATGTTGGCCCAACGTGATGGCTAAACGTTGGCACAACGTTGTAAGGTTTTATACAATACATTGGCCCAACGTTGGTCCAATGATGGAATAATACTTGCCGATGTTGAACAAACGTTGGGCCAACGTAGTAAAACAAACTGTTAACAAACGTTGGCACTCCGTTGGTTCAATCTGTAAACTTTTCTATCCATATGAAGGATACTAAAATCCCTTCCAGACAACAACTGCAATAATTCCTGGTTCTTACATCAGTTCAAAATTGCGAAAGTAATACTTTTTTTAAATGTTGCAATTATTGCGTTTTACAGATCCACTATACCATGTTGTGTCTTACATACTACCCGAAAATTTTGTATTTTGCAACTTTCTCTCAATCTTCCTGAACATGCATGAAATATTTGTCAATGGACGTTTCAGTAACCAACAACCAATCAATCTCTCTCCAGGAATTGTACTTCTGAATATTATACCCATATTTGTATGAACTCAATCAACGTATCCATGTTACCTATTTTTCTTAAATAATATAAATACAAAGGTATGATTAAATATAATTTATTATTAGCTAGACAACCAGCAAATTTAAAAAAAGTCTTTTTTGTATCTATACGTTGCTAAATCAGATCTATAGAATGAAAATTTTAAAGTCTATTCATGATAATTCATTTATCCCATTTGTATAATATCATTACAGTTTATGTTGCAATATCCAAGCTCTGTATGACGACCTTGATAATTCATTTTATACAGCTATTTTTCTAGTTCTGTATTCCAACATGGTTTTTATTCACAAGAGTGTTCTTTTTGTTTTCTGCTACACTTTGTTTTGTCACTATTTCTGGCTCCGTCCAATGTTACATCCTTTTAATATCCAGTTTAGCATATCTTCATAAAAGTTATTTCACTACACGTACCTCTGTAATAGAGTAATGAATAAATGAGTACTCAATGTATGTATATTTAGAATATATTAAATCCTCCTAAAAAATAAACAAAGAGACAAAAAATGCATTGTTTCCGGTGTCCTGGCACATTACAATAGTTAGAAAAAATACTCTTTTTTTATATTTTCCCTAGCCTATACAATCCAAGGCAAAAGGCATATTGAATTCTTTACCATAATGGCTAGACTTAACCTCACTAGCTAGGTTAAGCAGGACAATTGAGTGTAGAAATAGATACAGGAAACTTTGTCAAAAAACGTTCTAAGTAAATAAATAAAACTAGTTGAAAAAAAACACAAAGTCAAATCTAAATACACTAGCATTAACGGTAGTATTAAACATGTTATGCATATATATCTGTGAAATTCGAATCCGATGTAGCATAAATGATGGCTATTATGTTAACTTACTTTCTTAAACTTAATCATTCTGGGCTATCAAATGGTAGAATGCATTTTTTCCCATCTCCATTCCCATGCATTTTCTAGCCAGGATGTTGTCAATAATTTCTATTATTCCTAGCTCTGTATTATTCCTTTTGCCCTCTGAATTATTTTGTCTTCTGTAGTACTCAAATATCTTACCTATAAATTTATATTTAAATGTAAAATTGTATATTAAAAAGAAAAGCTACTTCAAGTAATTCGATCAGACAATAATCTTTATAGTCTTTTTCTTTTATAAATATCCTTATGTGTGGTATAGTCCTTTTTTACATCCCCCCTATTTTTTTTATTTATTTCAAGCGTCAGCTTTTTGTGACTGATATTTACTCCTACAAACTACATGTATTCAAATATCGGTTTTCTTTTGCAAAAATTTTGCCGAGGACAAAAAACTAAATTCAGTCGAGTCCGTATAATTATATATAAATTACAACATTCTTGCAATGAATTTAATAAATAAATACTCTATTTGATATCTAAAACACTGTTACACATGCAAGTGTGTATATGATCAGGTTTCACAAATATATCGTATATGTTTGCATGCGATTTAGAAATAATAAAACTAACAAATTCATTTATATTTCTATGAAGTAGAAATCAATATACCACATTTCTGAAACATTACGGAACAAGGTACATCTTAAGACAGATTGTTTCCATTAACTTCAATAATGGTGATAAATGCAATCGTTATAGATTTCACAAATAAAACATTAAAATATTAGCAATTTACAATTTGTTTGATGATACTTATGTTCAGTGGCAAATATTTCATGATTATTTAGGATTGAAATGGTTTAAACAAAATCTAGAAAATATTTCGCCAGAAACGTATAAACTTCAAGATCAACATTATAAAATGATAGCAATTATATGTTTTAATTTTGAACAACATCCCTCAGATTAAAAAAAAACATATATGTTTGTCATTCACAATCGTATATATAACAGAATTTTTAAAGTTTTAACTTACATGTCACTTTCTTTTTCTTTGAACCTCAGATAATAAGATTTTCTCTTTTTGTTTTCTTCGTTTCACTGCTTTCTTACAAATACACAACAGGAAATAACCACAAAAGTGACCATCCCATTACATTCAGATTTCCTATAAACTTAATTACCATAGCAACTATTTCTATGAAATTTGTCTAACATATGGTCAACCTTATCAGAATGTGCTTGATTAACAGACTGGCTGTATCAAATATCACTCTGTATATAATTGGTCAATTATTATGTTTCACAAAGTTTAATGAATGAAGTTATAATAAATAATGATTGCAATAAATTAAAACTTTTAACCAGGCAATCTATGTTAACGATATATTTATTTTTATTACAGTAATGATATTCCAGTATAAATTTTACCTGACTTATATATAGAGTATAATATAGGGTCAACGTTGGCCCAGCATTGGCCCAACATAGAGTTGTAAATGTAATTTCAGTTGATGAACCCTTTCGGTATAACATTAACTTTTCATAAAGCATGCAGCAATCGAAATCATCCGCCTTCCCAAGAGAAATAAAGCGTAAACTATTTCATAATCAATTTTTATTAACAAAATTTCATATCGGCCCTATGTTGCTACTAACGTAATGCCAACATTGGCCCGATTATTTATAACCAACATCAGATAATAATATGGATTTACAACAGCAGGCCAACGTTGGGCCAATGTTGTGCAGCCAACACCAACGTGCGACCAACGGACCGACAATTTGCCAACGTTGGGCCAATGTTGTGCAGCCAACACCAACGGTCGACCAACGGACCGACAATTTGCCAACGTTGGCCCACTGTTAGTCTGTTGACTGGGAACATCCTATTGATTACAAAGAGAATATACTTAATCAAGATTACAGCTGTCAATTAAAATGGTTATATTGTTTTATTAATATCATATTCACTTCACGTCTTATTGATCTAAAATCAATTTTTGAGTAAAAATACCGATTGTGACGATATCACCCCTATCAACCAAGTCATAATGGAATAGCCCAGAGCTCCAGGAAAATCGATTCAATGACGGTTGTAGAAGCGAACTGATAGAAGAAAAACAGCTTACATCAAAATGATTACACAAAAATTATTTTTCAATTAACGGATATGAGTTCATATTTACATATTATGGATATAGTTTTAACAAATTCTGCAGAAATGCTATCAAGGTAGGTACACGAAACGCTTTATTTTTCTAATTGTCTTTTCATATCTTCGGTTTAATTATTATGCTGAATGTTCGTCAAGTAGAAATCTTAGACATATTCCCTAAAACCAAAGATAACGCATTGAACTGAAGGCTATCATTTGTATTTATTTGTAGTACATATAGAGAAAAGATGGATTAATATGTATGATCGATTTCAACATGTGAAATCTACAAATGAAACATACATGGGTTTGTTGTATTGGAAATAAACACAGTAGGATATGGTTGACAATTTGAAGCTGAAAATTAACATATTTATCGATCTCTGGTTATATTGCATAAAACAGTGCCGAAGATATAGTTGATTCCGATCTCAGAGACATTATTACAAAAAAGACAACGGGCAAAAAGATTATTAAGATTTTCATAATGTTTTGTACGTCGGTTCATAGTTGATTTTTTATTTTCACAATATTTGTCAACTTAGGCCTAATAAGTTGAATGAAGCTCAGTAAAACTAATTTTTGAAAGTTTCTTCGAATCAAGATGCAAAATTCCCGATTCTCACAATCGTGGAAAAGACCAAACAATGATGGCATACATGTAGTTTTTACTGTATGTTTTATATTACGGGAAACAAACTTTTATAGCTGACTATGCGGTATGGGGTTTGCTCATTGTTGAAGGCCATACAGTGACACATATTTGTTAACTTCTATGTCATTTGGTCTCTGGTGGAGAGTTGTCTCATTGGCAATAATACCACATCTTCTTATATATATATATATATATATATAATTCAGAAAATATTGAGTGTCAAGTAATTGGGATGCTATCTCATTGCCTTATATACCTTAAATCCACGTTTATCCATATACATATGGGTTGCTGTTTCATTGAGGTATCACCGCATCTCTGTTTACTCATGTTCAATTGTTCAACTAGCATACACTCTCGTTTATGGAACAGAACTGGAAGATTGAAACTGTCGACACACGATGCAATAGAAATTTTTAAATGCTTTACGAGGGACACCGTTTTGATTTTAATTTGAGTATAATAATAAGAATTAATATTCATTTCACTTAATATCCCGGTATCTTGTCGCTCAGCAAAGCGGAGGATGACACATGTGGGATATAGGGGGTAAAAATGTGGGATCTAGAAAAAGAAGTGAAAAAGTTAGAAGTGGAAATGAGCACCCCGTATCACCCCCACAGCAATATAGAGAAAACTTACACGAGCAAACTGCATAACATACAATAACCGATGAGGTTTACAGAATAGATAAAAATGGCCTAAAAATAATAAAATATAAAACATGCAGAATATAAAAATGAAGACTTCAGACCCTCGTTTATACATGTTATAGTGTAGTGGAAAATATGTTATGCATATGAATTCATCTATGTACGTTATTTTTTTAAATATATCACCAAAAACATAAATATTCAGTTTATATAAACCAATTTATACAACCAAAGGCAATTGACTAATTATGACAGCCTCCCTTTCTTACATTTCACATCTCTTTGTTTACAAGATAATTTTGCACTTAAACAGGAAAAATTGATTGCTTTTAATCCTTGTTCTGTTAAGGGTCATATTGCAATTTCTAATCAGACTGTATGGCATGTTTACAAATACATCGAATCGATTAGATCAAACTTGAAGCCAATCTACTCTACACATTTTATCTTTACCTTATCAAATGCAATTAAATCTGCTAGGTTGAACACGGTTCTATATAGGTTTATTGTAAATATTTTTTTCTGATCGTACACCTCAGATTCTTGCACCTTGCCGTCTATTTTATGATTAGGGCTACCTGTCGAAATATCAACAGTTCACAGTCAAAATGTGATTAAATCTGCTAGGTTGAGCACGGTTCTAAAGGCTGCGATTATAAAGCAGATGTGGATCCAGGATTTTGAAAAGTGGGGGGGGGGGGGCAAACTAGGCAACATAAGAAGTAGAACATGTAAAAAATCTATACATGCGCATTAACCATATATGTACTCAAATAAGTGGCGGGCGCCCTGCCACCTCCTAAATTTGCCACTACAAAGTATTTTGTAAATTTATTTCTCTGACCGTACGACTCAGATTCCTACACCTTGCCGTCTATTTTTACAAAAGAGCCACCTGTCGAAATAACATCGAGTACACCGTCTAGGGAAATTATCACCGTGTGTTTAATAGAATCTAATGGTTTCAACTGTCTTACATTTGGTGAATGGTATTATTTGATGCAATCGTCCTGAACATGCATGAAATAGTTACCACTGGACGTTAAGTAAGCAACAATCTATCATTAGTAGATGCTTATTTAATGCGCTGGTTGAATGGATAAACATCACTTCTAACATGGTGTCGGTAATATGTAATGTCGAACGGCAAAAAGTGGCAACAGTTCTGGAGTGGATCAGTTATTCAGTGTTTTGATTGATGATTGATTGATCTTTGGTGTTTCGGCTACCTCATGGTTTCTAGATTTTATTGGTCGAGGAACCCGGAGTATCTGAGAAAACAAATTGAAGCTGAACTACGAGACCCCCTCATTATTTTGAAGCTTACGTCTTCGGACATCTGTATATATGTTAACAAGTACAATTATAGATTTACTGAACAATCATTTAAGTGTAAATAATGTTATATAAATCAAATATTATATCAATATATCTACATTTGTACCATGATAATAGACATGACAGTTGAGGGTTTTGATGGGGTTTACAGAATAGAGAATAATGTGCAACAAGTGCAGAAAAAGGGCATAAAATATAAAGAATATAGAAAAATAGGCCAAAAAATTAAAAAAAAATTAAAACAGAGAATGATGAGGTGCTAAAATAAAGAATAGAAAAAAAGGGACAACATTGATGAAGAATAGAGAAAAATGGCTTAAAACTAAAGAATGCAGAATTGATGGACCCCATCCAGACCCTCACAGTTGGTAAAGACTGTTTATTTTGGGAATCGAGTATCATTACTTAACACGCTATTTTATCCTACAGCAGGGATGAAAATTAAAATTTTCTAATAGTTAAAAATTTTCCGAAGTGGTTGCCAAGGCTAATTGTTTTGTGACCCAGTGTGATAGGCAAAAATGTTCAAAACATTAGTAGCCCAACTCAAATCAATCAAGAAAGTTAAAAAGACCAAATAAAGTAAGAATTTGAAGAGCATTGCGAACCCAAAATTCCGAAATAAAAGAGACTATCCTGTTTTTCTATTATACATTCTTCAAAAATAAACACATGCCATGTTTAAAGAACATTTATAAAAGTTAAAACATTTTATCGAATAACATGACAGTAGTACCGAAAATAATAGCTTTTATTGCTTCATCTTAAAGTCTCAGTAAGGCCTTCACTATATGGAGTTAAATCTAACACCTTACCGCAAGTTCAAGACGGCTCCTTGAGACGGTTAAAGCGGAATTCTTAGCCTCACATCGATAACGCTGTAGATATGCCAACTATAGTCGTCATTGGTATTCCAGTGGAATAAAATACTCTGCAACTTTAAAAAGATACCTTGAATATTTACCAGCTTAATTAAAGATAGTTGTTCTAATGAGAGACACTTTTTTTCGCGCAGCCACGAACAAATGAAAATATTTTTTTTTATGGTCACATCATGAGATCTGATGTCTAGCGTTGCAAAAAACCTTGTATAACCAAATGTTATTCTGTCTTTGTGGTGATGTGTTCTTTAAAGATATCAATTACATTATCAGTGACCGCTGTGGATAGTAAACTAGGAATTGATAGTAAATATTAAATACACGTTATACTAGTATATTTATGATAATATATCACAGAAAACGCGAAAATAATTTTAATTAAAAGAAAACCAAACTAATAACGGATTTTGCTAATTGTTGAAGGCCGTACGGTGAACGATAATAACTCAGTAAAAATAGGCTTCATTTACCTTATGATATATAGATAGTTCTCTCATTTGGCAATCATATCCTTATTTTATATGACAAACAAATCAATATATTGTTGGTAATATCTCGGACGTAACAGATAACAATATTTCTTGTTGTGTTAAGGACCGTCGTAATCAATAAATAAGAAGGTATTAAGCCATATCGTGCACGTGGTGTCACAACCATATGCTACATCAATTAAACATTATAACAATTAAGGTGTAAAACGTATCAGCCGACTGTTGCTCCCGTACAGCTATTGTTAGATTGTTTATAATGACGTGCTAAATGTTTCCTATATTTAGCATTCATAAGCTATTATATACATATAACATGTTAGTTAAATGGTATTTATTTATTTATTTTTGGCTCTTTTCCTTTTGCTAAAATATTTTTATAATAATTTAATTCGAATTATTTTATTTTTGGCTCCTTTCCTTTTGCTACAATATTATTATAATAGTTAATTTCGAACTAGATTTTTGTTTACTTTCCCCCCATTTTTTATTGTTTTTTTGTGTGTGTTTTTTTTATTCAAAGTAATATAACCAACTTTAAAAGTTTCAAGCAAGCACTGAATGACAGTTCACGAGCAATTGATATTGAAACGATTTGAGAGCGAAATTTTTTAAATCCTTTTCGGTAAATTAAATTCGGATAAAAAAAAAACTAATTGCGACAATTCAATTGTTATGACACTGATGCAGCGGTTCCATAGACAAGATTGTTTACTATAAATGTAATAAATTGTTTGGATTTTATACGGCACAAGTAGTCTGAACAAAGAAAAGTCTCAACCTCTTGTCACCTATGGTGATAAAAAAAAATTACGTCACAAACATTTTATTTCTATTTATTTATTCATCAATAATTTAACACATGTCACTATATTTATTCGATTTAACCCTTATGATATGCTGAACAGAAAATACGGCTATAGATGAACGAAAACCTGCTCTTTAAACTGTTATTTATTTTTTTATTATTTTCTTTGGGGGTGGAAAGGGGGGGGGGGGGTAAATGTTACATATTTGTATTGTTTATAATTGTTTACTTGTTTTAATTATTTAGAAGCAATC